ACCACTTGAGCCACAGCGCCACTTCCGGCTTTTTTCTTTTTGCTTATGTGGTGCTGAGGAATCGAACCCAGGGCCTCGAGCATGCAAAGGCAAGTGCTCTACCACTGAGCCACCTTCCCAGCCCCTTTTTAAATTTTTAATAAGCATAAATTTTAAATTTGGGGCAGATATTTTAATTGTTTTAGCTTTGACTGTTTTTAGCTATGACTGTTGTGGTTGTAAACTTGAGTTTTAAAGGACATAAATTTATTTTAGAGCATGAATTTTTTAAAGTAAACAATTACAATGAACTTACTATTGATTATTCCTCCAGATAATAATTGTGCAGTTTGGTGGAAAACCTTTCAGTTGTTCAGAACTTTCAATAGAACAATGGCTATGGTCAATATTCCTAGGAATGGGAACATTACTCTGGGGCCAGGTAAAAAATATTTCATCATTTTTGCTCAAGTAAAAAATAATTTTTTAAAAACATTCCTCAGTATATTTAAGTTCTGCTACTTAATTCTACATAATCATTTGGGTCAGGTAAGAGAATTGTTAAGGATATGCCTTGGGGTTTTTTCTTCTATTTATTCATTGTATTTTATTCAAACAAATATTATATAATATTTATTTCAAGATACTTATTTCTATGCTTATGTTTATTTTTAACTTATTTTTAGAACAAATCTTACAACAGATAGGTTGTATTTACAACTGGTTAAAATGTTAATTTATGTATTTATGATCTACTTTCATGTTATCAGAATAACATTATGAAACTAGATTATATTCACTTTATTTTGCTATGCAATTATATCTGAAATGTAGCATAGTAAAAATGTTTAGTTTTTGCATATAAAACTTCAATAAAAATAATAGTATCTGAAAAATAGAGTGGCATTTTAGGGTATTTGGATTGAATAGCTTTAGGAGTATATAAACATATATATATTATAATTCCTGGAAAACAAGATGCACATCAACTTTCTTGGAAATGCATGACATTGTTTTTAAAAATAAGTTGTAATGACCTGTACAATGTTCAGTTGAAACTTATTATTCTTACTATAAAACTAGCTGACTAAAAATCTATGCTAAGGTTTGGGTAAATGCATGTTAGCATGCTATATGACTTGTGCATGAGAATTTGTCATTTTCCAAGGCAAGCTAGACTTTTACATTTTACTTAAATTTAGCTCATTTTTCATTCCTTTTTGTCTTATCTTCTTGTTTATTGTGTTTCTAGGTTCTAAGCTTTCCTTACTTATCTTATCAGATAATTTCTTAGAAGGAAGATCCCTACTTGATTCACATTCTTTTTTTTTTTTAAACCATTATTTCATAATGTTCTCTGGTAGGCAGAACATACCCTCCAAAAATTCTGGCCAATTTCAAGAAGAGGAAATGGAATACAGCATACATAATCACACAGTAGCAAGCTTATGTTGACATTCTTCATTGAATTTAAGTGTGCAGTGGTAGAAGGAACACTGGCTTTGTGGCTAGGAAACCTGGAGTCTTAAAACATTCCATGGACAAGTCACCAACCAATTTGACTTTTGTGAAATGAGATATTTGACTAGAACCTCTCCAAGCTATTCTGTGTCTGACTGTGTGCTTGTTTTTCTCATGATGAACTCTACTTCCAGAGGGAGGATGACTGTTAATATTTATAAGCTAATTCATATCTTTTGGTGGTTTTATTTTATATCCTTTATGCTTTCTAAGATATCTGTTTCTATTTGGTGTTATTATCAATCACCATTAATTCAGCTTTAAGTAAAAATAAGTGTATTTAATAAAACTTCTCAGTATAACTTGTATGATTTTCATTTGAAGTAAATATAACTAATAGGAATTTAAACATGTGTATATTAAATCATGTTTGTAGAGTTTGCTATTGTGAATTAAAATATGGAAGCATATAATTAGGCTAATTCCTATTTTAAAAACTTTCTATATTTCAAACTTAAATCTTTTGTGTTACTAAGGGAAGAATTATTTGTTGTTCTGGAAGAGAAATCTGATCAGCAGATTCTCATTGCTTCATTGGTAAAGTCATAATTTTCCAGCTTTTAACCCTTTTATAAAGTTGATCCGTTTGACTGTAATTGATGTAACTTACTTCTAAGTTCTTTCCCCTGTGTTATAGCTTATTTCAACAATTCCAACTAGTCGCTTAAAATTTCTAAAAGAAGCTGGTCATGGAACACAAAAGGAAGAAATACCTGAGGAGGAATTAGCAGAGGATGTTGAGGAGATTGATCATGCCGAGAGGGAGTTGCGACGTGGCCAGATCTTGTGGTTTAGAGGTCTGAACAGAATCCAGACACAGGTATGGGCCTGGTAGAGAGGTAGGAAAGATGATGGGAGCAAGGGCTTTTTGACCTGGGGAGGAGGTTTCTCTGTGCTCCTTAACTTCCTTTCTAGCCTTCCCAACCCACAAAATGTATTCTTTTGAAATATACTACTGGTGGCTGGACTGAGTGAAACTTTTAACTGATTATGAAAGAATGTGTCTTATATGCCCCTAAGTTCCTTTTTCCCAGTGTGTTTTTTCCCCCTTCATCTCAAAATGCTACTCTTGCCTATTAATCTGCTCTGTTAAAAAAAAAAAAAGTGCCTTTTCCTTTACTTTTTATATGTTGATAGATGGAATGGTCCTTTCTCTTGTTCTCTCTCTCTCTTGCTGAGCAAGCTGTCACAATCTCTGATTCCTTGCAGATGGATGTAGTGAATGCTTTCCAGAGTGGAAGTTCCATTCAGGGGGCTCTAAGGCGGCAACCCTCCATCGCCAGCCAGCATCATGATGTAACAAATATTTCTACCCCTACACATGTAGTGTTTTCCTCTTCTACTGCTTCTACTACTGTGGGGTGTGAGTGTGTGTTCCTAAGTGCATGAAATTAACATTTCCTACTTCACACACCTAACGTTTCTCATTTTCTCCTTAATGTTTAAAATTCATTGTTCAGGCTTTTCATAAAGCTTTCTTTTCGTAAAGTGGATTGAGACCTCAAAGTGTTGTCGTTGTTGTTGTTTTATTTCTTAGGGGGCTAGATAACAGATGGAACAATTGCAACCAGAGATTAGATATGAAATCTGTGAGCTTATCTCTATGTTAATGAGATGTTAATAGTTAATATGGGGAATAAAATTGCAGCTTAGAATTTGTGAAACTACTATAAATCTTTGAGTATATGCCTTTAAATGTTTTTGTACTGCATGGTTCCTAAAAGCATGTGACTTGAAACTAATCTAATAGAACCAGGAAATTACATTTATAAAGCAAAAAAAACATGAATTTAGTATTACAATTTCTATCCTATCAAGTCTGAAAATGAAGTTAGTAGTAGCCTGAAGTTCTGAGTGTAATATAGCTGATTGCTTGCCTTCTTAGCCTGAAGTTTGCCTTGCTATATATGTATGTATGTTTTTGTTTGCGGGGGGAGGTGAAATTTTATGGTAGTTACAGTTTCATTTCCATTTGTATAATCTATTTCATTTGAAATGATACAATAGATTAAAAATGTTCAATTAAGTTTCAAAAGCAAATAGGGAAAATATATTTTGATTGATTGTTAAACTGTTGTATGTTTTAATATGTGTTAATTGGCTAGAATCATTCTTTTAGGTTTTCCTTAAACGGTAAATTCCCAAAAGCCTATAACCTGTATGATCTTAATGTAACTAGGGTCTTCTGATCTTATTGTGGATTTTCAGTGTGTTGGAGGCAGTAAAAGTATAAACCCAACTCCCCTGCCAAAATTGCTGAAATTCCTAAGTTTAGACTTGTATTTCTCAGAGACCTCTCTTTTTTTGTTCTTCAGTCAGCTAAGGACTAGAGACATATTGACAAGCTAGAAAGATAGTAAGTCAACAGGACAGTATAAGCTATTTACTCATAATGCCTGTTTGTTTACTGTTTGCTTAAGTAAATTTTATGTTTTCTAAAATACTGTAAAACAAGCAAAATGTAGCACTGAGCATTTAAATGATTTGCATATAACTAATTAGCAAAGGTAGCATGGTGTAAAGCAAAAAAGTACTCTAAAGACAAACTAACCTTGTAACATTGGGATATTATATTTACATGTAAGAATGTTTTGGGTTTTTTTAAAGTTACTTGCCAAAATGAACTTGTAAGTATAATGCCTGGCTTAATGCTTAGTACAAAAAAATGACAGTTGCATCTTTGCCTCCCTATTAGGAAGATGGTTTTATAGGCTTCTTACTAGCCATTCCTACATGGGAGGTCCATATTAAATGTCAGGGCTTTTGTAGAACCTCAGAGCCTGTAGTCTGGTGAGGAAAATCAGACCAATCGTTGGAATTTTCCCAAAGGTAATGAAACACAGATTACTTACATATAAGGAGCCAAAAATAAGAGATTATCATGAAAGAATTTCCCTTCTCCCTAGAATGTTAAATTTGAAATTTTTCAAACCTGTTGGTCAGTTGAAATATTAATAGACAAATACTCTTCACCTTCATTTCCCATATCTTAATTGTTTTATGGCATCTCTACACATACAGATAATGAATAATTTTTTACTGAGCCATTTGAAAGTGACAAGACATTTCATTCATTCCTACTTCATATCTCTAAGAATGAAAAGTCATATATATATATGGTCCAGATTTTTATCAGATATCTCCAAAATGTTCTTTATAGCTTTTGATCCAGAATCTAAGAAAAAATGATCAGCAGTCTGTGTCCTAGTTGTGTTCTAAACTTTATGTTAAATATCAAATCAAGCCAGATTCAGGCATACTTGTAATCTAAAGCACTTGGAAGACAAAATTTGGGAGAGTTGTGAATTCAAGCCTCTAGACTATGCAGCAAAACACTTATCTTGGGGGGAAAATTTTTTATTTTATTGTGAAGCAGATATACAGAAGGGTTACAGTTACATAAGTAAAGTAATGAGTACATTTCTTTTAGAACAATGTTACCCCCTCCATTCATTTTCTCCCACTCCCCATCTCCCTTTGTCATTCTTTCTTATGGAAGCATAGCATTCCGTGTGTGTGTGTATGTGTGTGTGTGTGTCATTTTCTTGATCCATTCATCTACTGAGGAGCATCTGGATTGATTCCATACCTTAGCTGTGGTAAATAATGCTGCAGTAGCATAGTTGAGCTCGTTGCTTTACGGTAGCCTTGTTTGTGGTTATTTGGGTAAATTCCCAGGAGGGGGATTGCTGGGTAATAGGGAACCTCTATGTTTAGTCTTTTTTTTTTTTTTTTTGGCCAGTCATGCCGCCTGAACTATGGGCCTGGGTGCTGTCCCTCAGCTCTTCAGCTCAAGGCCTAGTGCTCTACCACTCGAGCCACAGCACCACTTCTGGCTTTTTCTTTTTATGTGTTACTAAGGAATCAAAACCAGGGCCTCATGCATGCCAGACAAGCACTCTACCACTGAGCCATCTTCCCAGCCCTATGTTTAGTCTTTTGAGGAACTTCTATACTGCTTTTCAGAATGGTTGAACAAGTTTACACTCCCACCAGCAATGTAGTAGCATCCCTTTTGGTCACATCCCCACCAGCATCTGTTATTATTAGTTTGCTTGATAACGGCATTCTAATTGGTGTGAGGTAGAATCTCAATGTTGTTTTGATTTACATTTCTTTTATGGCCAGAGTTGTTGAACATTTCTTCATTGGCCATGGTCTATTGGCCATTCTTATTTCTTCTTCAGAGAAGTCTTTAGCCCATTTACTAATGAGGTGGTTGTTTCTTTAAGGATTTTTTTTGGGGGGGCTTAATTTTTTGAGCTCTATGCATATTTTAGGTATGAGGCCTTTATCTGATGTATAGCCAATAAAGATCATCTTCCAGTCTGTGGGCTTTCTACTTATCCTGCTAGCTATGTCCTTTGCCCTACAGAAACACTGCAATTTAATGCAATTGGAAAAAAAATAAAATAAAGCCACACACAGACCTGCCTCTAGGTTCCTGGACCAATACTTCCATAAATAGAGGTATACTTCAGAGAGTGGCAAAGGAATTATGATGGCTCTTGTCTCATCAGAGTTTGAGGTGTTTTACTTTTTTATTCTATATCCTGTAATCCTGGAACATGAAATATCCAGGGACTGGCATATGTCTTGCTAATGAGATCATCATTACATACAAACAGACGCAGTAATTATTGCTGTTTCCTTAATTTTTTTGAACCTTGCTGATAGCACATTGTGTTAGATGGCACAGAATATCAAGGTAGAGTTAACTAAGTGTTAGTGACTAACTAAGTGTTATGTTTTATGAAAAGTTTAATTATTTCACTGTACTTCTACCCTAATATTGAATAGTCTTAGAAATATCTAAATGTCAGGTATCTTTGGTTCATTTGGAGGCCTCGCTTTACTGAGAATTAGTAATCCATCCTAGTTTGTCAAATACAAGATTTGAAACAGCTTCAGGGAGATCATCTTTTTTTCCCTTCATTTATTAAATTAAGTAACTGTACAAAGAGGTTACAATTCCATATATCAGGATAAGTACAATGAATCTTGATTAATACCATTTTATTAATAAGATCATTATTTTTATGATCTCTAGAGAAAACATTCTTTTTAAAACTATGAATTGTAGAATTTCAAAATAAAATATTAAATGGATGATTTTAATAGTGTGTTTAGCATATTGTTTACATTCCTTAAACAATTAATTAGTAAAGGGGTGGGCAAAACAAGAACAGTAAATGTATTTGCTGCTATTATTCTGTCATATTAAGGCTCAAATACAAACACATGAATAAAACATAACTATAAAGTATGATGGAATCACAAGAGAAGATAGACTAGATCATCTATTCTCGATGTGTGGATTGTGGCCCAACAGCATCTGGGAAGGTTGAGATCTCAGGCCCCTGCACCTTTGAGAAGCCCTGGAATTGATACTTGTGTGCTAACACTGTTACTATCAGTTAGCAGTTCTAAGTGCGCCCACAACAGCCCCAGAAGGTATAGTTATTGTTGATTCTTACTTTATACCTGAGAGAAACACGTTGAATGGGTTCCTGCATTAGTAAGTGGCAAACTGAAACCCATTTTATTTCTTTTTTCTCTTTTCTTTTTCTTTTTTGCCAGTCCCTGAGCTTCTTTTGCTCAAGGCTAGCACTCTACCACTTGAGCCCAAGTGCCACTTCCAGCTTTTTCTGCTTATGTGGTACTAAGGAATCAAACCAAGGACTTCATGCATGCTAGGCAAGCACTCTACCACTAAGCCACATTCCCAGCCCTAAATCCCATTTTTTAAAACCAATTTTGAAACACGTATATGAAGAGATACAAGGTTAAATAATGAAGAAACGCCAATTTATTATTATCTTAAGATTATTTTCTTAATCTTTTATAATCTTCCCTTAGCATTTGAGGTTGTCTTTATTTTTTAAACAAGTCATTAGAATTAAAACAGAAGTACACAGTATTTTGTGGGATATATAAAAGCACTCAGCCATTTGGATTTTGTCTTTTTTGTTGTTATTTGCTTCCTTTTTAATCTGAACAACACTGGATTAATAAGAAATGGCATCACTACAACCTGGTTTTAAAGTTTACCCTTTGTCATCTTTTAAATTTGTACATCAGATCTCTAAGCAGAAAGGTAAATTGTTGCACTGTCTATAGGGCTGAAATACAGAAAACTTTGAAACTTTGTGTCTTCAAACTTGAGTGACAGAAAAATTCCAGTAGAATTTTTCACATTTTAAATTGTTTCCAAAGAAATTTAGTGATATGTTGTAAGCTATGATAGAGAAACACACTGAATATTTTTAGAAAAATGGCATATACTCAAATATTTATAGCTGTTTAATGGCATTTTATAGATACTCACTTGGGTTTTGTCTTTATTTTTACTTTTTAATAAAGGGAGTAGTGGGGTAGATGTGAGTTCATTGTGACATTCAGCTTATATTTGCTTGGCTTTTTCATAGTCGGTGACACCCTAATTCCTAGCATGATAAATAGTAACCCTTTGTGCTTGACTTTGTTTAACTTATTTGAATTGTTTTCAAAAATACATTCTTTTTTAATTTAAAAACAAATCAGCTAAGCTTGTGTATGGTTCAGTTTTTTTGTTTGTTTGTTTTTTGTTTTTTTAGGCAAAAAAATCCTATAAAATGGCTATTAAATTTTTAGCCACTGACAATGAGGTTTTCATAGTATTACTTTGAATCTATACCTCTTAGTTCTTAAGAGTATGTGGTTTTGTTGTTCTGTAGTGTCCTACTAAAATATTCATTTTTTTACAGTGTATTGCAAGTTCCACTGCATTACATGCAAATATGATTCACTCATACCTAGCTGTTTGTGGATTCAAACTCATAAATGAACCATTTTTTTAGTTAACTGAATAGTGTACTGACATCTTCCTGTGTTTTCTGATATTTACAGATTCGAGTGGTGAATGCATTTCGTAGTTCTTTATATGAAGGGTTAGAAAAACCAGAATCAAGAAGTTCGATTCACAACTTTATGACACATCCTGAGTTTAGGATAGAAGATTCAGAGCCTCATATCCCCCTTATTGATGACACTGATGCTGAAGACGATGCTCCTACAAAACGTAACTCCAGTCCTCCACCCTCTCCTAACAAAAATAACAATGCTGTTGACAGCGGAATTCACCTTACAATAGATATGAACAAGTCTGCTACCTCTTCATCCCCAGGAAGCCCACTACATAGTTTGGAAACATCACTCTGATTGTAAGCTGAATGTTAACACACTAGCTGCATTGTAAAGAAACAAATTGAAACTGGGTCTTTTCACATATTGTGATGGACAAGATAGTATTCTTGTCTTTGGACTTCAACAGAAGACACACTTGTACGAATGTAGATTTATTTTTTTAAAAAAAAAAAAAAGCAAAGCTTTCTGCCAGACTGAGGGTGCTTTTTGTGGGGTGGGAGAAATGAACTGACAGATAAACAGTAACTCAGTATAAGTGACCTGTGGAATGGTCCTAAACAGTGTATTAGCAGAACTTTAGTTTTTCTCAGTCCTTGATGGGAGAGAGGGAGGAGTAAGCTGGGCAAGACAAAGAGCCCTGGATCATTGAATTGATACTTTCATTTCTGCTGTTGGCTGTTAATAATTTGGATTATTTATGTTTATAAATGATACAGATCTGTTTACAAGGTTTGTAGATACTTTTTTTGTTCCTGTTCATAGATGGGAAGCTTCCTTATAACTGATGCAAACAAAAATTAGTCCTTCAAATACTGCTGTATTTTCAGGAAAAAAAGGGGGGGTGTTTCTATTGAAACTGTACTAAATTTTTGCCTACAATTTACCTTGTTAAATATTGTAGATAAATTGCTAATACTAATAGCCAAATAGATAACACTAATGCTTTGTTTAAAAAAAGAAAACAAAACAAAAAAACATGAGCAGTGGTGTTCTAATAAAGTTATGGCATCTGTCCTAATTAGTTTCTTAAATACATTTACTACTTAATGGTTTTGAAACAACTGTTTAATTTTTAAAATTTTTGAAAACTTGCTAATAACCTTTTGTTCAAAATTTAGTAGATTGTTTAATGCAGGACATCAACTACATAATGAAAGATGCTTGAAATGCTTTTGTTATTTCAGGCAAATCAAATTAAATCAAACTATCAAACTACAAGAGAACCTTAGTCCTTTTTGTTTTTGTCTAAATATGTTAGTTTAGTGATGTCTTGGTGAACTGTGAGTGAATTGTATTGATTTTTCTAATAAATCCTTAGAGACCTTCATACAGCATGAGGGCTGTTGGCATTTTGAAAAAGGTTAACAAGTAGAAGCATACATGTTTTTCTTTCTTTTTTGAACTTGTTTGTAAACATAAATAAAAATGCCCTTTTACTAAATAAATACACGGCAATGTTTTTTTAAAAAGACATTTCAGCTTCTTTCCTCAATTCTGCATATAATGGTGCATCAGTCTTTTCTCTTTGATCGCAATTGGAATAAATTTCAAGATGGTAACAGCCCCATGAAGTACTGCTTTAATTCCTTGTTGATAATCTAGTAGAATCAGAATACAAAAATTACCACAACTTACCTAAAATATTATCTCACATTTTTAATTTTTTAATGTAATCATTGTCTTTTATTAAGTGGCCAAAAAACAGATTAGGTAAAATGAGAGTAGGTGAAAAGTAGAAAAGCTTCTAAACAGATATATTTAGATATAATAGTTAACTATATTCTAGAATGCCCGTTTCTAAACCAATTAGATTCTTTAAAAACTGTTTCTGTCCTGTCTACCTTTTCCTCCTGTTTTCCTCTTGTCTTTACCCTTTAAAAATTGGTATTGTATCAGGGCCCAGATTTCACCAGATACACAATCCTCAGAATGACATAGAGTTTACGAGGACTACTACATCCTAGAGTGCTGACCCAGAAAAGAAATGTTAGTTGATGGTGCTTGATATTTTTGATGGGTGGGGGAAATCTTTTTCTCTCCATCAGTTCTTTGCAGTAATCCTCTGCAAGACTTAGAAATACAATGGCTCTGTCAGCATTTATCATTGTACATTTACTCATCAGGTATTTATAGTGATTCATACTGTAAAAAAAAGAGGTAGCATGATATGCTGGAAGCATATTTAGACTAGGAGTCAAGACGTGGCTTCTAGTCCTGGTTTTTGCCATTAATGTTCTGCATGATCTTGGGGAAATAGTTTACCTTAAATGAGGGTGGTGGACTAGACTCATCTTGAAGAACCCTTTCAACTCTAAAAATTGACCCTATTAACTGAGGAAGCCTATAAGGCATAGGGAATAGAGAAAAGGGAAATGTTTTCAGTTTTCTTTTTTTTATTTTGGTTATGCTTAAATATGAATGTACTTACCAAAAGATTTAGAAGTGCATGTGCTTTGGAGGATTTGTATTGAGCTTTTACAGTATTCATTTTCAACTCAAGGCAATGGCTTTTTACACCAACTCTAATCCATAAACCGGTCTTATGACATCTATGAAGTAGTAGCAAGACATGCTTAGTGTGTATTTCTCTCTTTGAGACACTGTAATTTCTACCAGAAATTTCCAGAGCATTATGTAAGTAGGAAAAAAAATGCAAGCAAAGCTGTTAAAGATCTCAGATTCCATTATATATTATGTATAGCTGAAATCAGCATCTGTAATTGAATCACTTTTTCTCTTTAATCCTCTAACCAAAAAAAAAAAATGTTTAATTTTGCATCCCAAATGTTTTTAATCTTTGTATATTTTTTAAAAATCCTTTTCTCCTCATCATTGCCTTTTTTGTGGTTGTAAATAGACTTACTTGCACTTTGAAGATGAGTTACTCCTTGTCATCTTACAAATATGTGATATGGTAATTTTCATAACAGATGTCAGTTTTGAACCAAGAAATGGTGATTTGTTTATAAGAAAAAAAAACTGACTTCATTTCTGTGAAATTGCTCTTTGAAAATTTCTTTTTCCACATGTAAGCCAACTGAGATACCGTGATGGTGTTGATTTCTTTTAATGATGCTTACCATCTATTTTAGCCACTGAGCCTTTTATTATTTGTCTATTTGTAAAGTTTATTTGTCTTAACTCATTTAATAAATATACTGTTTATCTGTTTCTGAATGGGGACTGAACTTTTTGAATATTGAAATTGATTTGGACATCATATTTTGGAATTACTTTTTTTCCACTTCACATTTTTGAATTCTAATTAATGATAGTTTATAATGTACTTGGAATGTGATGGTTATGTTACATGAATTGGTGTTGCCTCTAAAATGACAATGGTGCATTGCCCCTACTAGCCTACCCACTGCCTCAACCCTTCTAACCCTATAGATCAGTTCTGTAGTGATGAACAGCATTTTTAGGAAAGACTAGGTTTTCCACAATAGTTAAAGAATTGGTTTTTCATGACACAATTCAATCTTGTCACTAATAATTATCTTAACTGTGACAAAAGAATAAAATTTCTTAGTTGGGTTTTATAATAAATTATTAACAAATTAACAATGTTGAAATGCTGAGTTAACTTTAAGTGATTATGAATATTTTGATAGTGTAAATTAGTAAGTTATTGGGCACATGTTATATTTATGGAATGAGTATTTTTCATCATATCAGGCTTTATGTATTGTATATTAGGACTGAATTGTAAATTGTGTTCTTTTTGTAAAACTAAATGAATAAGAAAGGGGAGTTTCTTTAAGCTTTTGCTGTTGATATACTTCCTTCCGCATACCTGTATAAAACTTTGTCTTAACCATAGCTGTCTTATTCCTGTAACCTATGCATACCAACCACTCTAAAACACTTTCACCTAAATCCCATATCAACCTTTATCTTTTTAAATTATTCTTACACACATAGGTAAACCCCCCTCAAAAAAAGATACTTTTTCCTTACATAATTAAGCCACCTAAACTAAAAATTATCTCTTAACTAAGTGCTTTTCCAGTATAAAGAATGTGGATAAGGGAAGTTGGTGTTTGTGTGTCTATACTGTTCTCATTATATTCCAAAAAGGAAATTATCTTTATTCATGTAGTTTCCTCTTTAAGCAGTTGATAATCTTGGCCCTTAAACTCTCAGGAGTTTACTTTTATTTTTGTCATAAACAACTTTTTTGAAATGTTTACCATTTTAAAAAAGTGTTTTATGGGTAAATATACTAAAGGTATGCATGTGTAATCTGTTTTCTCTAAGTTTATACTGTCATCATTGAATAATATTATTTAATGGCTCCAAAATGAAAACTTAAAAAGTTGAAATGTTTAAATACTATTACAGTAGTAGTCTATAGCACAATTTCCCTGGCACTACCCCTCAACTTCCCAAATCAGTAACACACATCTGGCTTTGGGTTAGTTAGTTAGTGCAGGACTAAGGTTCTCTTACTTTTAAGTCAGAGTTTCAAGACCACATATTTTCCAAGTCACCTTGTAGATCATTAGCTTTTTAAAAGATTATTGGGGGAGTGAGGGTGTGTCTCACATGGTAAAGTGTTTGCATAGCACTCATGGGACCCCCAAGTTCAAACCTAGCATGTCAAAAATAAAAAAGTAAATGGAATAAAAGGGGTTTAAATAAATAAAGGGGTTTTAATCAACATAAACTTAACAGAGTACTTCCTAAATTAAGCATTTCATATGGGTATATTGTAAGTCATGTGAACTTCTGCTGTTTTATGTAGAAACTGAGGCTTTGAAGGTATGAATGACTTGCGCTGAGTTACATAACTTGGTGGTAGGGCTGGGATTTACAGATGAAGCTGACCCTTTTAGGATCATGAACTAGCTGCCGCCCCCGGTCATTGCTATATATATATATATATATATATATATATATATATATATATATATATACACCTTACATCTGAGTTGTTCCCTTAGCTGTTCTTTCCTGTTAGTGGATTCTAAAGAGAGTATTTTAGGACTCTTCCTACCGTTCTTGGGAAATAGGTCAAAAGACTGAGGCAACTTAAGGCATCTACAGTAATCCAAATATTCCTTATAGAATATTTAATGTAGCAGAAGAACCAAAAATGAGAAAGAACTCAGTCAAATGGAGGATTTTTTTAAAATTTTTTGCAATACTAAGAATGGAGCCCAGGACCTCAGTTGTGCTTGCTTATGGGCAAGCATTCTACCATGAGGTATTTCATCCTCAACCCTAGAATTTGTGTGTGTGTGTGTGTGTGTGTGTGCGCGTGTGCACACATGTGCCTACATTTCTACATGTATGTGTGCAGGTCCTGGAGCTTGAACTCATGCCCTGAGTGCTGTCTCTTGAGTTGTTTTGCCTAAGGCTAGCGCTCTGCCACTTGAGCCACAGCTCCACTGTCGGCTTTTTGGTGACTAATTGGAGTTAAGAGTCTTGAATTTCTTGAACCGCAATCCTCAGTTTCCTGAGTAGTTACATTTTCCAGGCATAAGCCACCACCAGTGCCCAGCTAAAATGGATTTTTAGTAATATATTTTGATTTGGGAATTTCATGACTTAGTCTAATGGGTGTATTTACTTGACATTTCATAAATAACAGGTCATTGCTTTATTGCTTTTTAATTTAGAATAAAAATTTGTCAGAATGAGATGCTTTGCATTTTTGTTTTTGAAATTTGTATAGGGTGTTCTATTTAGTGTTTATTTTTTAAGTCAAGAAATACATTGCATTTAAATAGTAATTTCTTTGATGAAAATTCTTAATGTTTTAATATTAAACTCAAAAGAGTGACTGAGTTGGATGTTGGATTTTAAATGATCCACTGGCTGTGGGCAATCCTGGGGCTTGAACTCAGGGCCTGGGTGTTGCCCCTGTGCTTTTTTGTTCAAGGCTCACACTAGTTCTGCCACTTAAGCTACAACTCCACTTATGTTGTTGTTTTTTTTTTTTTTTTAGTGATTCATTAGAGCTAAGAGTCTTGAGGACTTTCCTGCCTTGGCTGGCTTTGAACCATGATCCTCAGATCTCCTCCTGTATAGCTAGGATTGCAGGTGTGAGCCATCAGTGCCTAGAAATTTTTTTTTTTGTCTTGCACTCAAGGCCTGAGGTCTATCATTGAGTTCTTTCATTCAAGGCTAGGGCTTACCACTTTGAGCCACAATCCTGTTTTAAGTTTTCTGGTGGTTATTGGAGGTAAGAATATCATGGACTTTCCTGCCTGGGCTGGCTTTGAACTACAATCCTTGCTTGGATCTCAGCCTCCTGAATAACTAGAACTACAGGCATGAGCCATCAGCACCAGCAACTTGATCCATTTTTAAATGAAAAAAATGTAGCTATTTTTCACTGCAATCTTAATACTATTTATATATGGTTTGTGGTTCTCTGTAAGAGTGAGATGCTTGCTGATTTTTATGATTATTAAGGTATCTTGATTATAAGACTGGCTTTGAAATTATGAGTATTTAACCTAAAGCATAGCCTGAAAATGAAGGGAAATAAATACCAAGAACATGAGTCAAGGATAGCTGTGTTTTCCGAAAGCTAGAAATTCAAGTGCTTTGAACTTATCTAGTATACTAAGTTTTTAATCATAAGCCTACTCTCCAAGAAAAACCAGTGGTTTGTCTAAAATTTTCAGTCTTTAATTTCCTTCTTCACACTTAAGGTAGACGGTAGGTCTCACATCTAATATTTGGTAAGAGAAAGTATAGATACAGTGAAGTCACACCGACTCTGGAGCCTGGAGTCACTTTAATAAAGTAGAACACTACCTTGGTATCTGTCCCTGTTTTCCTGCAGTATGCTCCAGATTAACCGCTATCTGCTTTCATGTCTTTTGTCTATACCTCCTGTTCTTCATTCATTAATAATATAATAATCATATAATATTTGGTGCTTCTTTTGAGGAATTCATACTGTTCTAAACCAAACAAGGTCTGTTCTTTGAGGGAGTGCTAGCAGATGAGAGAGACAAAGCTAAGTCAGGTAGTAGGGAATGATGTTATATTTTACAATGTAGTCTTCATTGATAAGAGAAAATTGGAACAGAAACTTGAGGGAAATAAAGACACCACTGCTTGCTCCCTCCACGAGCCTTCTAAGCCTAAGTTTCAATAGATAGCCTTTTGCAGGTACAAGGGACTGGCAGGAATGGTGGCCACTACAGCTGGAGTGAGTTGAAAAACGGGTTGGAAGCTAGGAAGCCACAGAAAGCAATTGCCATTTTCAGACCTGTTCTATACCACTTCAGCTTTTGCTGCTTCTTTATAGTCCCTGCCTCCGCAAAGATTCACACGAGCCCTTTATTTCCTTTATCTTTATTAACTTTATTCATCCAGCTGAAACAAGACTGGTGCCATTATCAGTCATCTCACATACTTGTAGCCTACATGCCCATTTCTACATGCATCCTGGTAGCCTTCACTTCTGTGATGTTTAACAATATGTTTACAAATAGAAGATGACCATTCTCAACTAGTCAGTGTTGAAGATCACAATGTCTCCTCCATACTACCTTATACTTGGCTTGTCATAAGCGTGTTACATTTGATAGTCTTCTTTTTTTTTACACTAGGCATGACTGCCACTGTCTCTTGTTAGGTCAATCTCTTTTAGCCTACTAGCCCTTATTGTCTATATCCTCACCAAGGGACTTGAGTTGGCTCACTCATCCTGCTCTGTCATTGTCCTAGACAGCTTTGTCTCCTGACCTGAACCTGAATCATACCTCTGAACTTCATACCTCCTCTCAGTCTTACAGAGTCCTCAGTAATGCTGATAGTCAAAATTCATACTTAGTTCCTCACAAACACTCAAGCCAACCTTTTGTCTCTTGTTTGTTTTCCTGGATCATTCCTTACTGAACTTATTCCATACCTTTATATCTCTCTCAAGCCAAAATTCTGCTAACAGTATGTATTTTTCATTTTACTACTAACCAGACCTCTGTTTCCTTCACATATTTTAGGAGACTTCTGTTCCTCATAATTTTGTTCATTGGGTTTTGGTCCCAGAGAGCAGGATTTTGAATCTATTATTATCTATTTCATGTTCCATTGTTCTAGTCTTCTCATAGCTCTGATTTTTTATCTCGGTCATGGGCTTGACCTCTGGGCCTGGGTGCTGTCCCTGCATTCTTCAGCTCAAGGCAAGCACTCATCACTTTAGCCACAGCACC